GTGAGCGTCTTTCCAGACGCGGGATTTCAGTAACTTTAACCATTACCAGCACTAAAAAAAAGTATAAATGTATTGCCACACAAAGCACTATTGTCAAGTCCGGTCTCCTTTAGTGTCTGTTTTGCATAGTTTGTACACGATTTGTTCAATATTTGTTGGGGATACGCTACACCAAGAAAGGATCGTAATTGCGGGGGTTCCAAGTGCGAAGCTTGTTGCCGCGTACCGCTGTCAGGGTCCACATACCACAGTTGTACTAGAACGGGAAGTATAAGTGTGGTAAATATAAGAGATTGCCGGGTAGTTTTGTCTTTTTTTATGTGACATCATCCTTTGAAGGCGTTACTACGTGACAAACTGAGAATCTATGGACATCCATACTGGCATAGTAGACGACGAGTTGTCGGGGTTTTGTAAAATTGAACTTTGTAAAAGATTTCAGGGGAGATGCAAAGTGTGTAACGGTTGACCCTGTGTAGGGAGCGACGACTGACGCGTTTAGCTTCCACTACAGTGCTGCCGCGAGTCAACGAAATCCCACCGTGCCATTTGTTGTGCAGTCGCTGACCTGTGAACGCTGGGCCGTGCAACGGTGCCGGGTCACAAACGTGACTCACGCGATCGGATATCAAGTTGAGCAGTACTGGGCAGGTCCCCTTCAGGGCTAACATGCAGTCTCTGGTGGCTGCCCTATATGCTCTCACCAATGATCACAGACTCATAATGGCTTCCCTACATGCTCTCACCAATGATCACAGACCTACATGCGCTCACCAATGATCACAGATTCATAATAATTATATATGCTTCTCTACATGCTCTTACCAATGATCACAGACACATAAGTCCAAGTACTGTATTTTGCGGAGTATAAGCCGCACCCAGATTTTTTGTCACGAAATACCGACATCTTCCCTGCTTATGGACAGTCGATGTGGCGAAAATAGTGTTGAGTACGAACAGGACGACGACATATTCTCCAGACATTATGGACAACGGGAACAGGTTAGGTCAAACACCATTTATTAGGGAGACAGAGACCAAGACGAACGAAACGACTACATTGTGGAAGAGTGAGACAAGAGAGAGCGAGATCAGGTGAGAACGGCAAGGTAAAGGGCTGTGTAGCTATGGCAAATATGGGCGCGCAAGTAGCTACACAGGCCAACGGAACAAAAGCAGACAAAAGGTGAGTACGAGAGTGCATGCAGGCCAGCTTGGATAAGGTTGTAGAACGTACGGGAGGAGGCACATAACATACCTCCCCTGCGCAAAAAGAACGCGACCTCGCGGAAAATAATAAGATGAGAAAAATAGAGAAAAAAATGACTAAGGAAGAAGAGAAAAAGCACACACACACGCACACACACACACACACACATACACACACACACACACCGCACACACACACACACACACACACAACGCACGGAGGTCACAAAAGTGTTATACTAAACATGCACTACAGTTATCACGTTCCTGTACTCTAAAGTATTAGTTCAATATACATGTATGATACGCATCACTCAAACTAGCGCTATAGCGCAAACATTGCCAAAGGCGGGCCAAACACCCCTTCACAAAATCGGCACACAAAAATAGGAGTTAAAAGGAACACTGAATTCTGACTGGCATGGCTAACCAGCATAGTTACACTTACGCAATACGAATATTAGAGCGTGGCTCACCATCGGACCCCTGATATCAATGAAGACCCGCCGCGCGCGCGCGCGCACACACACACACACTACAACAAAATCACAAAATAAATAAACCGAAAATAAATTTGACGACGAAGGATGGATGAAAAAGAAAGAGAGAAATAGAGAAAATAGCTGACCTGCATGACTTGGACAAGACAAGATTTCAGGCGCGTAGGCAGGGGGGGGGGGTGCTTTGGGTGCCAAAGCACCCCCCTCAAAAATGTCGACCATGGGTCTGGCTTGGCATGCATTGTATGATCAAACAACCGCGACTGCCCTCAGCCCAGACTGGGTGCATGCTACGTAGATCTGCGAGTACTGCATTGTACTACACGTGCTTGCACTTTTTCGTTGCAGTCAGTGTGCAAGTATTAGTTACTCCATGAACAAAGTGGTCTCAAATTCCTAAAATGCGCTACTTGTGGCGCATGTTGCTGCGAAGGTAGCAGGCCTGAAAACACCGACAAAATCAGCGAAGCGCTTGCCAAGGAAAGAAGGTGCGGAACTGCTTACCCTACCCCGCTGGAAGGTCGTTACAGTGTACTTGAAAAATGCTAGCTTGCCTTCATCCCCTGCCACCTGGAGGCATGGATCGCTTGAAAACGAAGGTTCTTGACCTGAATTTGAACGCGCGTCTTCTTCAGGGTATTGTTGAGTGCTGAAGGGTCTGCCTCAAACTCTGATGAAGACGTCGACCTCAGCTGCAAGTGCAGCGAAGCGGGAGGCCACAAACTAAAGCTTGGTCCGTCGACAATGCTCTGCCTCAATTTCTAGCTGATTTCTTTGCCCCTCGAGTGGACAAAATAAATTCGAAAAATCGCTCTGGGAAGCAACAATTTTAATGACGCGAAGAAAGTAGATTGTTGGAATGGCAAGCTGGAGACATTCATAATACATCAATAATTCAAGGTGTACACCGCACTACAGTCCATTTCAAAACTATAGACGCGTACCTAGGCAAAATCCGTTATGCCAGCATCTATACCACATAAAATCTGTGATCACTTTGTGCATAAATTTTTCCAAATTGGGCATCTGTTATCCAATCGTTTAGGAACTATATCATATGAGAGTAATTGTGGAGCGGACCTGAGCAATATTCCGAAAACTATTCTCAAAAAGTTCCAGCCAAATTTGAAATAATTATTTCAAAAACCCTACGCGTCTATAGTTTTGAAATGGACTGTAGCATGCATACAATATGCATACATGTACAAGATTCCTCAAAAGAACGTTATTGGAAGAAAATTATGGGCACCCCCCTTGACCATGATCCTGGCTACGCCCCTGGATTGACATAGAAGAGACGAGGTTGACATGGACGAGACGAGGTTGACATAGACGAGACGAGGATTACTGACGACGAGACGATGTTGGAGATGACGGGGACGAAACTCAGGGTCGTGGGTTGAGCAATAGTCGGGCGCCAATGTTGAGTACGAACAGGACGACGACATATTCTCTAGACATTACGGACAACGGGAACAGGTTAGGTCGAACACTTGAACATTTATTAGGGAGACGAAGAGACAGAGACCAGGACGAACGAAATGACTACATTGTGGAAGAGTGCGGCTTATACTCCGGAAAATACGGTAGATTCTAGGTGAGGTGAAATGCCACCATGCACAACACAATTTATTATTATAACAGGTAGACTCCCTCTAACTCGAACCTCGATTTGCTGGCCCCAATTTCGAATTATCTGAAACGTCTAATATCAGTCCCATGTACTGATTATGTGCATAACATGTACATGTACATGTATATCAAAATGCTCGAAATTATACGCTGATTATTTTTGCACGTTATATTTGCATCAACAAAACATAGGTGGTCCCACCGGTCCTGTACAACGGATCAGTTCATCTCACCAAAACACTGGATAGACACAAAGTCATTGGACATTATCTTCATCTTCTACGAAGTTCTAGTGAAGAAGTTGTCAGTCACTGCAGCTGTGCTGAAACAAGTTCAACGGAAAAGAGCAGCGCTGCCTTCTCTGCGTCATGAAAGCCCGTCGGAAAGCAGCACATCGCTCTCAAGAACGGAAGTGGTGCATGTGCATAGACAGTTTTTACGACTTCCAGTCAACAGTGTGGTTGTTCAGTCCGGCGCAAACATCTCTGCGCATGAGCTGGCGCGGCATGACAAGCCACTGAGATCCACGAAGGGAGCCAGCAATGTGGAAGAAGTCGTCTTCAATCAAACCTTTGCACTTTGCTTTGCACAGGCTTGAATCAAATTTCGAGAGAAGGTGGGTTTCTTCAAAGCTATTGTTGATCCTGGACCGGACCAGGGATCGATTTTCGAGTTACTCTTGGGTACAGAATGAGACAAAAATGAACTTCGAATTAGTATTATTATGAGTGGAGCAACTCCATCTCATTTCGAAGTAAGCGCTCGAAGGATATAGTCACTGTACTGTAAACTGCTCTTCTGTACGAAGACAGAGTTCGAATTATCCAGCGGGTGCACATTTCGTACTTCGAATTACGCATTCGAATTTGGCTTGAAGTGACTTGCAGAAGATCGGTACGACGAACAAGTTCGAATTACACCATATCCGAATTAGAGGGAATCTACCTGTATTATTACGGAGCATCAGCAAATCGAATATTCGAATGAAATTCGAGAATCGTCACGAAAAGCACTCAATCAGTCGAAACTAGGGCTTTGTTCGACTGAAAAATGCCCGCAAACAGAAAATACTTTTCGAATACTTTTCGAATGCTCCGCGCGTGCTCTAGTACACGGCGCACTACGAGTACTCATTCTTGCGCATGTAGCTACTAGTACTGTACTAGTACTAGTTCTTACTAAAGAAGTACTAGTCCGGACTTCTTGTCAATCTTGACGCTTTCCTCTCTCTCGAACTGTGAAAAGTTTTATCAAGTGTGCATTTTGTTTCATTTCAAGTGTCCTGGAATCATGGCTTTGTCACCAACTACCAGCCCCGGTATGCCTCCTGCTCCCAGTACTGCAGTAGCCCTGCTGGCGTTGTCTCGGCATCTGCGTCTATGGTGAGTTCCCCGCAGGGAGAGGGCAACTCAAAGTGTGCCAAATATTTGAGGGTCGACCTTACCATGGATCTCATTCTGCTGAGGCAGTGTAGGGCCCACCCTCACCTATTCGTCCGCGGGTCTCCTGATATGCAAGGGATAGCGGAGGAGCTCGGCCGAGATCCGCCTTTTCAAGGGGTCTCCAAGAGAGCGGATCCTATCGCCAATAGCCTGAATCGGATGAAGCATCCGCCGCTTCGCGTCATCCCCAAAGAAAGGCAATGAGAAACAACAG